TGAATGTTACAGCGAAAAGAATAAAATTGTTGAAAATATTTTGACAAAACACCAAGAGAAATCAGAAGATGAGAAAAATGATAGGGTTGACGCATCTGGATTTGAGCGAGTAATTAATCAGAGTTCCAGGAAACTTATTGCTCGATTACGACGCTACTTCGTGCAAGAATACATCAAAGGAATTCTGAACCACTTATGTCCGCTGGTTTGGTTCGCTTGCAGTCAATCAAGATAACACCACAAATTCATCCACAATCATTAAGTATTATGAACTCTGTATTTGATAAAACATCTCACTCAAGACAGGTAATATTATTATCTTGTCTTGCATTATCGTGTTATCCTGGCATTTAGGAAAATTTATATTACTAAGCGAGAAGTTTTAGCAGTGAAAGTAGAATTACGCTTACTACTACTTTCATATTCGTTTTATTTTTTTAGTAAATGGCACTTCTCATCTAATCTCGGTTCGTCTGCCTGCCAGGTTCTCCGCCACTACCTTTATTGCTCTTTTGGCCTGCGTTATGGCCATCAGCCTGGTCGCCTTTACTCTACTTGACCTTTTGCCATCGCCTCGTGGCCTGGGCGTGGAGATTAGGCAATACTACCTCAAAGCCAACTATCTTGTCGGACAGATGCCACGAGCGTCAGGTAGGCAGATGAAATGGGTTTTAAAATATGTTTTTGGTCTGAAATTAAATCCCATCTTGTTTCCCATTTATATTCCACATATATTATTGGCCGTGCTTTACTTCTTGTATTCAAAATTTTAACTTGACACTTTAGTTTGCCAAGTATCTATGAGACAAATAAATCGCAGCCGCTAATATTTATTTACTAGCCTTACGCTTTTTAGCTATTTTTATTTGTACAAAAATTATTTAGTAGATCCATTTCAGATATAACTTACAAAAATAAATTTGAATAGGACCAAATTTTTGCACAATATTTCTGAATCTACTTATGTAATGGTTCCCTAAACGTGTATAGAGGCTCTGCAGAATTATGTAGATAACTTTCTCAATGTTGTTGATTAACATTAATATTTCATTGTAGAAATCATAATGTTGCTCGATAGGTATCCAGAAAACCCTATTAAATGATATCTGCGAGATTTTAGCATTCTAACTATGGCTCTCATTTACAAGACCTATTCATTCTATACTCCCAGTATAAATGTCATGTGGAAGAATCCTTGTAATTTATGTTTGCATCCTGATTCAGGCTCACTTGTGACAACATAGCGTCGTGGTAACATGTCGGTATTTAGCGCTGTACTACATGGGTTTGAGTCCCGCTAGGGGTGTTGATGAGACCCAGGCGAGGTCGAAACCGCGGTCAAAGCTGGATAAGATTACTGTTTGGGAAACAAGACTAAGTCAAATTAAATTGAATCGTCTGGCCTACTAATATCATTGTGGTGAAAATTCGACTATTAATTCTTGATTACCTTGTGCCTTCTAGGGTGAATGAAACTCCTGTTCAAGATTTACTGACAGTTAGGAAACTTTCTCTAAACAAATATATTATTCAATTTTCTGAGAATTAGACACTGAATGCACCTCAGCAGTTAATAAAGTTTCATGAATAATATACTACGGTATGGATTATTCAACGTTGTAGCTACTAGTGAGTCCTGCTTAGACAAAATAGTATTGATATAATTGGGGTTAGC